AAAAAGTAGATCATAACCATATTTATGATAATTTTCCAGGCAAATTTGCCTGGAAAAGCCTACAGTTTAAGGGATAGATTAATATCAAGAAATTTTATTAAAATTTTTCAGTATCTGAATTGTTTCTAACAATAATGCCTAAATTTATAGATTTTTTCTACTTACTGAGTAATTTACAAATAGCTTATTCACACAACTAATTAATTGCTAACTAACTCTATAAGTATCAGTAAAATGAGCTTTATTATTATTTTACAATAAAGTTGATAAGCAACAGATTTTTTTTTTTTTAAAAGCGAGGTCATACCTCTGTAACTTTTATTAATATCGTTATAGGTACATTTATTATAATGTGATATAACTGAAGCAACTATAGTACAGAGGTTCAGACTACTTTATCTGTGATCTAAACTTTACCCAATAAGGTTTAACCTGTTTTAGGCCTGACTGAGATTTTTTGCACTTCCAAACTATCCTTATTAGTATTCTATATATATCCTCCACATTACTTATATAAGCCACAAATATACTTCCAAATAGGTATTACAACTAAGGCTCTGTAACAGGGTTACTTTTAATTTAGTGGTTGGCGTTGTTAGTGTTTCCTTCAGATACTTAGACTCACCATTTTTCTTCCCATGTCTTTTGTCTTTATCTTACGACTACCTCTTCTAGACTTTTCTTTTTTCTTTGAGGTACTAGCCTTCGTGGCTCTTATAGTCGTTTATTTGTACTTGTATGCTGTGTTCTTATTTTTAGACGGAAACTCCCATAGTTGGTTAGGTATGGGTTGTGTTGTGTAACTGTCCCAAAGTCAGTTACTTCCAACAAGATTTCGTAATACTTGATTACTTTCAACTTGGGTATTTCAACTTGGTTAGTATTCTAAAGTTGGTGTGCTCTTGCAATACTGTTATACCCATTTTGTATATTAGTACTACCAGCTCGGTGTACTCTAGCCTTTTTCAAATTTATTTACATGTTTTTTGGATAAGAACCATCCCTCTATATTTAGAACCTTCTAATTTTAGTTTTTCTATACAAGGTGCCAAAGATGCTTCCAAATTTGGTAAGGCCAATCCTTTACCACAGACCGTTCTTATATTCACCGCTTCTCTCACTACTCTGGTTTTAATTATTGTTATATTATTTTTCTAATTAAATCTAGTACTACAATACCAGTTTAGGACTTATATGCGCAATCCGGTGATCATCCTCCCAATCAAGTTTTCTACAAGTTGGATGTAAGGATGTTGGTGTTGCTTAAACTGGAAGTATAAGAATGTTGGTGTTGCCTGCCTACAAGGACTTACTTGCGTGATCTTTAATAACCTTAACCTTCTGTAATACTGCTATTATACATAGTGCTTGCACTTTATAATTGGGTCTCCTTCTGAGAATTCTTAATCTAATTTTGTACTTGCATATGGACTTCTACAGGGCTTCGCATTCGATTTGGCTCTAATAGGTTACAATAGTAAATTAATAATTTACTACCAGCTTGACTCAAACTGTTGACCTTGTCTGTGAGAGTTTGAGAGCTTAACCAATAAGCTACAGGGCCCAAACTCTTAAGCAACAGATTATAGTTTATAAAATAATTTTATTAAAATATAAATAAAATACTGAATAAATATATTTAGTATTTATATAAATAAAAAACTATAAAACTGATATAAAATTGATATGAATATAATAATATATACTGCTATATAAATAAAAATACTACTTTAAATATTAGTATTTATAAATTGTACTTTCTATATAAAAAAATTATAGTTATATAGATTTTGTATTCTTTTTAATATATATATCTGCTATGAACTAAAAATATATCTGATATATGGGAATTATACAGTTCTTGTTTAACTTATAAAATTCTTGATTCTATAACTCTATATTACAACTAAAATCATCATCTTTAATTTTTATATAGAACCTTGTCTCATAATTTTTAGCAGATTTATACATCTTACAAATATAAGATAATATACTATATTTGTTTACTAGAAGAAAGATAGATAGTGTGATCAAAGTAGAATTGAATCTGACTAAGATATAAATCTGTCAATTCATTTTCTAAAGCAACAAATCTTGCTAGAATTCTTGAAGATTTGATATAGTGAGCTGAGAATATAGATCCAAAAATTTTTAATTCTAACTTTAACTATCCATATTAAATAATATTAGAAAATACAAATATTTGATCAATTCCTAATACACTTTCAGATTTAGTAAATTGATAGCTTATATCTGTTATATTATAGAATTCAACTAAAAGATTTTAAATATCAAATTGTAATATAATAGTTTCTAATTTTGAATTGAAAAATATATCAAGAAATAATTTATAACCAAAAGCTTTTTTCTGATTAATAATATTTTTTAAATTATAAAATTAAAGAAGATTTTGTGATTCAAATTCATCTGGAATAGCTATACTACCATCTAATATTTGTTCTTTTAGTATTGTAAAAGAATTAGATAGCCTGTTATTATTTTTAGTATATAATACAATTTTATCTAAACATTTATTTATAAGAATAATTCTTAAAAGTTCTGGTTCTATATTCCTATTAGGGTTCCTTAAAGTCAAATCGAATCAAATCAAATATTAATCAAATCAAATAAATTCTTGATTTGAATTTGATTTGATTGAATCGAATTAAATCAAATCAAATAATATACAAAACTTAGTAAAAATTTTAAAATTTTGTCACTTTTCAAAATTTTCAATTTACGCAAAATTTTACTAAGCTAATCGATTTTGTATATTAAATAAAAATATTCTTCTAGTTAAAATACTCTAGTCAATTAGAATGAAAATAGCAGTTATCTTAATAAAATTTTGTGTAAATAGCTATTAAATCTATAGTTTCAATTTAAATTAATTCGAATATCAGCAAATTTATAAGACCATAATATTTCGTAATAATTTACAAAATGTAAAAAAACCGTAATATTACATAAGAAATTTCGAAATATTGTGAAATATCAAAATTACGAAATATTACGTAAGATATTTTGAAATATTTCAAAATTTCTTACATAATATTACAGCTTTTTTTACATTAAATAAAAAATTTCAAAATAGTTCGCATATATACAAATAAGTTATATTTTTGGTTTTCATATTACCTATGACCCGCCAACCCGGATTTTAAATCCAATATCATTTTTCAAGTTATAATTTTAATTCGTCCAATTTTTATTTACTGTAATATTCTATGTCAT